TCCGTACGCTCAAAGTTGTTTGGCGAGCAAAAAAATCGTGTGTACTTAGGTGAACACAGGAATCGTACTTTAAATAACATAAAATAAAGAAACACATATTTCTACTAGTACTGTTTATTGATTGCTTCACACACAGAGCTGGGTAAATGCAATTACATTACAATTACAATTACATTCAGTAATTGTAATTAGGATTCAATTCCTTTAGTTCACTGCAAAGGAATCGATTACTTTTTCAATTCCTTGAAGTAATTTCAAATGGAATTGTTTTTTTCTTTAATTCCATTACAAGGAATTTCATATTGTAATTGGAATAAATTACGTGCTAGTAATGTAATTTCTTTTATTTCAATTCCTTTGAAAGGAATTGAAAATGTAATTTTTTTTCCAATTCCTTTGAAAGGAATTGAAAATGTAATTGATTTTTTTTCCAATTCCATTCCTCAAAGTAATTTAAAAAGTAATCGAAAAATTTATAAAAAAAAATTTTTTACTGTTGAATTGCAATAGCTTTGTTAAATTTCCTGCTAGTATTTCATACAAAAAATTATTGCACTTTCACTTAACCCTTGCAAACTTGTTTATTTATCCATCGATTTTCATCGGTAGTAGTGTTTTAACCCGCAAAACAAGCAGAGTTTGGCTAGTCTATACTAATATATATTTTGAAAGGCGTTTTTTTCTGTTCGCAAAGCTCGAGAAAGGCCGTACCGATTTTTTTGAAATTTCGGAATCTACTGCAGACTTTCCAAGGATGGTTATAGCTAAAAAAAGTTTCGATATAGAAAGGGGGCGTGGCACCTCCCATACAAACCGAATTTTTCAAACTGCATATATTTGTGGTAGAGGACTAGAACTGGGTATGGTGATATCTATATACATATATAAGACCAATTCCATACTCATGGAGAAAAATTTGCATGGTTGGAGAATGGCGTGTGGCACCTCCCATATAAACCGAACTTTTCATATTGCATATTTCTGGAAGTGTTCATGGTAGACTGTAAGCCTTTTTAAAACTCTTTAGTTTGACACCCACATGCCAACATTGCATTTACTTTATCAATTTAACTGAGTTACAATTTCCAAATAGGTGGCAGCCCCCTCAAAAATATTTCCAACAGTTATCTTTCTCAAACCTTTTTAATTTGATACCCATATTGTAATATTTTATTTATTTTATCAATGTAATTTAGTTAAATTTTCAAACAGATGGCAACCCTCCTCAAAAATATTTTCGGCAGTAAGCCTTCTTAAAACTCTTTAGTTTGACACCCACATGGCAATATTTCATTTTTTTTAACAATTTGACTGAGTTTAAATTTTCAAATAAGAGGCCACCCTCGTCAAAAATACTTCCAGCAGTTATCTTTCTTAAACCTCTTTAACTTAATACCCATATTGTAATAATTCATTGATTTTAAATTAATTAAATTTTAACATAGGTGGCAACCCACCAAATTTTTGCGATATCATTGGTTCTGGTATTATACCGAATAATAAAAAAAATATTATTCAAATCGGTTCAGCCGTTCTCGGGTTTTGATGACCGTGACATACGAACACAACATTTTTATATATATATAGATATACATAGAAGATGTCCAATTTGTGCTTTCGATTTTAATCTTTGACCACAACAAAAATTCCACATTGTATATTCGTGAATGAACTTTCAGTTTCTCGATTACTTTTACAATTCCTTTGAGTAATTGGAAAAACTAAAGTACTCTTGCAATTCCAGGTAATGGAATTGAAAAAAAATCAATTACATTTTCAATTCCTTTCAAAGGAATTGGAAAAAAAAAATTACATTACTAGCACGTAATTTATTCCAATTACAATATGAAATTCCTTGTAATGGAATTAAAGAAAAACCCAGTTACATTTGAAATTACTTCAAGGAATTGAAAAAGTAATCGATTCCTTTGCTGTGGACTGAAGGAATTGATTCCTAATTACAATTCCTTGTAATCTGTAATTGGGAGTAATTTAATTCCTAAAGGAATCATTACGACCCAGCTCTGTTCACACATAACCTTATTATTTTTCTGACTAGAGCTTTTTAACAAGCAGTGTGTTCTTAGTTTATGTACATATAACAAGAATTTTCAGGTGGGATGTCAACCCTACCAAGTAAAATGTTTGAAGCGATGGTTAAAGTTAGAAAGAAAGTCAGGGGTTTTTCAATTTTACGCGACAAATACTCCCAACAATCGAAGTCTACGAATAGATTGTTATACGTAATTTTAAAGGCCTATAAATGCTCTTCTCATATTTGATATGTAAAATCGGGTGAAAAATATTCAAGTAATAAAAGTGCGGTTTTTTTTTTATAAAAAATGGAGGATTTAGCAACTATAAGAAACCTATAAGATATGTGTAAATCAGGAAAATTTTTACAATATGAAAAAAAACACTCCAAAAATCTGTACATCTTGACGGAGAGCTAAAAATCCGTACGTTGAATTCGTACAACCATTTTCACCCGTAAAAATCCGTACCTTACGGAAAAATCCGTACATCTGGCAGGACTGCCATTAATTTTACGTGTTGCGTTTTTGTATTCACGTTGCACATAGGGGTGTTTAGCCGATTTATGCCGCCAAAATTATTTTTATGAATATTTCAACTCCAAATTTTTAGAAAAGACGTATTTTGACATATAGAATTGAGAATGTTTAAAATCAAGTTAATATAGGTTAAAACATTAACAGAGTTGCCACCTGTTAAAAATTTTGTTCAATTAGTTAAATGAGTTGCTGCAATATGGGTATCAATAGAAATGGGTTTGAAAAGGCTTTATTTCTGAGGAACCTTCGAGGGTTTAAAAAATCAAATTCAACTTTAATTAAAGGAATTAAATAATTCAAATATGTATCACAGTATAGGTAAAAAGTGAATGTATTCGAGGTGCAATTAATGCGGCAGTGTTACTCTTTTATGAAAGAGTATCACGTTCTACGCGAAAATTTGGGCGAACAAAATTTTGACAATCAGTTACTCATCATTGGCAAATCAAAAGCAACATACAAATTTTTACTGCGCAATTTCTGCAACATTTTAGAAAAGTTTAAGTTGAGCATCAGCAACATGTCATCAGGAAAGCAACAAGTCTGCAATATTGCAGTAATTATTACGTAGCTCGAACGCACCCAATGTAATAAAGGCTGACTTCCAAAACGTATCAATACAATGTTTGGATACTTTTGTACTGCGGTATTCAAACTGTTTGTGTATGCAGAGTCGCGAAACATTGCAGCATATAAATTGCATATTTTAAATATTCAATGTAACAATGAAAAATAAATTTTTCTGAATTTTCCATTTTCACCACAAGAATCGGAACCAAAAACAAACGAAGCATCAACTTTGTTAGCTATGCGCTCATTACTCTACCGATACGTTTCAATAACTTTTCGGATGCGTTTTGGAACAGTATACATTGTCAATATTTTGTAGTGCGGCATTATGGAACATTATACTTTGTACGAATGCAAAGCAATCGACGTTTCGGAAGTCAGCCAAAATTACGTGTTTGTAATAATAAGTCTTATTTATTGTTAAGAGAATTTTGTAAGTATTAACTTCGAGTAAATTAGCGTTCTCAATTACTAAAATATCGGAGTTTTCGTATTTTCAGCGCATTTCTTTCCATACCAAGTGCACTGAGTTTGGTACAAATTGATAAATCGGTTACCGATATATACATTTGTGGTCAAAAGTGCGCCGCGCCACGCCCATTATCCAAAAAAGTATAATAATTTTATTTAATGCTAAGAGGTTATTCCAAGAATCGATTTAAAGTGAATTAGCTTCAGTAATTATTGATTTATCGCAGTTTTCGCGTTTCTGTAAATTAGCGTTATATGGGAAGTGGGCGTGGTTGTCGCCCGATTTCAAGAATTTTTAGAAGTTATGTCAGATATAGCCTAAGGAAGGCTCATACAGAGATTGGTACGTACTAGTGAAGGGGATACTGAGATACATTATTTCATCATAAGTGGACGGGCCACACCCACTTTCTAAAAATATAGTAATCCTATTTTGTTCCAAAATTTTACTTTACATACTAATTTTTAACAATTTGGATACAATATTTACTGAAATATCGTGGATTTATCTAAATTGACATTTATCTAAATTTAATCGCTTGTATACCCAAAACACCTCATCGTGTTGGTCCCCTTGCCGTGGGGATGAGGCTTAAGTGGTGGTTTAAATCTTCCTTCGGGGGGCTTTAAACCAGCACGAACCAAGAGGGAAGCTCCGTATGGAGATTGGTCGACCACCCGTCTGCGTAACTGTGGGCGTCGTGCTCCTCCAATCATACATACGGAGAGGACCGTACCGACGATTCCCCCACGCTCGTCCTACCCAACCCTTCTCTCCCATCTTTCCCTTTCCTTTCCCCCCTAATCCAGGGTGTTATGCGTAACCGTGCCTATTGGATGGTTTGCAGCCAGGGGTATCCGGCTGTATTCTAACGGCGCTCTCCTGATACCGGGTCACCTCAGGAGGTAGAATGACCTTGCCACAGCGGAGGGGACCGCTGTGGTCGACGACTCCCTTTTCCCCCCCTAAATACGTAGTCCGCCACGCTCGCCACGTCGAGAAGTGCGGACGTTTATGATATGATGAACCTAAATAAAAAACCTGCCTCGGATAACCGAGAACCCCCCAAGAAAAGTAGACCCACCCAGTCAGGAAGGTCCGGTCTGTCCTCGGACAAGACCAAGCAAGCCAGCGGTGCAAAGTCTGTGGCCAAGCCAGGGCTGAGCATACGCTCTGTCCCCTCTGGGACTGCCTCAACGGCATCGAGGCCCCCTTCCGGTAACCGGTCTAGCCATGTCCCTAGACAAGCTAGCGAGGATGTTAATCCGTCCGGTGCTGGTAGCAGACCCACCCTCGCAGATAGGTCTTCGGGAGGCAAGGGCAGCCCTGTCACAAGACAAGCTAGCCCTGCTGCCGTCCCCGCCACTCCAGGAGGCAAGGGAACATCGACAGGTGCAACCCCTAAAGCGGCGTCGGCGACATCAGACCGCATGGCTAAGCCAGCGGCCTCTGAGGTGCGCCATTCTGGCACTAAAGTAGCGATGGGCAGTAGCCATCCCCAGAAGCACATTAGTGCATCAGAAAGGTACTATCGTACCAGACGGTCAGCCCTCAGAATCCTGGAGAGACTGAGGGATAAGAAGCCAGAAGAACTGACCGCAGAAGAGCTGGACTCAAGAAATTGGGCCGAAAAGTTTATGGCTGAACACCAGGCGAAAGCCAAACAAGAGTCTGCTCAAGGCAAGCGGAAGTCCTCTAGGGAGCTAAGCTCGGAACCCAAGAGAACAAGGGTATCCGCCTTTTTAACAGCGGACGAGCTGCAGAAAAGATCCTTCGCGGACGCGGCGAAGGACACATTTACCAGGGCTGTGATAGACCGCAGCTCACTTGATGGTGCAATATCACCACAAAACTGGGACCTGGTCAACAGGCGACTCTGGGCCGTCTATAAGGAGGTTCTAGCGGAAAACCCAGGACCACCCCCCAGTTGTGCGGACGCCGGTTGGTTCCAAAACCGCGTCAAATTAACAAGGTGCGCGGACCAGAGATCCGTCGACCTATACACCCTGGCCATCAGTCGCGTAGGCGAGGTCTGGCCGGGTGCACGCCTTGAGGCGATAAAGCGGGAAGACATTCCCAATCGGCCCAGATCCAGGGCCTGGATTCCAGACTTCCACACCGACCCACAGGAAGTGCTGGAATGGATACGTATGGGCAACCCCGAGCTACCCACCCACGACTGGAAGGTAGCAAAGATAGGCGATATCGATGGCAAGCGAAGGTTAGCGGTAATAGTCCTCAACGAGGAATCAGTAGAACCGCTAGCCAACCAAAACTGGAGGATAAACTATGGCTTCCAAGCCTTGAACCTCCATGTTTATCGGCAGGACGTGTCAGGGAAACAACACCCTACCGACGAAGCGAGCGCAGTGGAAAGTGCTACTGACGACGAAGTGGCATCCACCTCCGGAATGGTCGGCGAACTCTTCGAGAGGGTGACTCTAGAAGAGGGGGCGGGGGACCACTCCGACTTTTCCGACACCATGGTGGAAGGAGAAGGGGAGGATATCCTCCCCCTTTCTGACGAAGAGGACGTCAACCGGACTGTGGTTGGCTGTCCAGCAGCAGCACGCGAAACTGATGGTGGGGATAGTTCAGATTAATCTCCACCACTGCAAGGCGGCCTCAGCCGCACTTCTCCTCCGTCTCGCCGAAAGAGAAGAGGAGATCGCACTCATCCAGGAGCCTTGGGTCATAAAAGATCGGGTTTGTGGATTGAATATGAAGGGATACAAGCTGTTCTATGTAACTGACAAAGGTAAACCCAGGTCGTGCATACTGATAAAAAAGTGTATTAATGCATTTCTCTTGATACAGTTTAGCGATGCGGACAACGTCATCATTGCAGTGGAATCAGGCGGAATGTCTATTTGGCTGGCTTCCACATATATGGCCCACGACGCGGACACATTACCTCCACCACAATCCTTAAGGAGCGCGGTAATGGAGGCCTCTAGACGCGGCACTCCGATGGTCATAGGAGCGGACGCGAATGCCCATCATCACATATGGGGCAGCTCAGATACAAATGAACGCGGTGAGTCGATATTCGAATTCATTATGTGCAATAACTTACAGGTTAGCAACGTAGGTGATACCCCTACCTTTGTGACGTCTGTTAGAAGGGAGGTCCTTGACATTACATGTGTCAATGAGCAGGGGGGCAGAACTCTTGAATGACTGGAGAGTCTCAAAAGACAACTCCTTTTCGGATCACATGTACGTCGTTTATAACCTATACGTACCAGTAAGAAAACAACAAGCGGTCTTAAACCGCAGAAAAACAAATTGGAAAAAATTTGAAACAATATTTTCTAATAATATTTCCGGCCTCACAAATCAAATAAACTCGGAACATCAACTTGATAACGTCGTAGACGATATAACTAAAGCATTTCATCGTGCAGCAAAATTAGCCTGCCCAATCAGGGCAACAAGTAGGAAACCAGAACCTCCATGGTGGTCCACTGAAATTGCAACCCTCAGAAGGGAATGCAGATCAAAATTTAATGAAGCTAAGAGATCCAACTCTTGGAGTGAATTTAAAGACTGGCAACGCCGATTTAAGTATGCAATAAGAGACGCTAAGCGCTCCTCATGGAGGAACTTCTGTCAGAAGATAGAAAGTACTTCGGAGGCCAGCAGACTGCGCAAAATACTATCTATGAGTCCCAGCAATATTAGCTATCTCATCAAGGAGGATGGTGATTGGACAACTAGCAGCGAAGAAACTCTAGAGCTTCTTGTACAGACGCACTTTCCGGGTTGCCTCCACAGTAGAGTCACAGATACCCGAATCATAGGCAACCATGATGACATTCCAGCGAATATCATAACCGAGGAGAACATAAAGCATGCTATTAGCAGCTTCCAACCGTTTAAATCTCCGGGACCAGACGGCATTATTCCCGCTGACCTACAGCATACAGCAGGAATGATTGCACCCATACTCGTACCAGTCTTTAAAGCAGTGTTACGAATGAATTATATACCCCACAAATGGGAGGAGGTAAGAGTAGTTTTCATTCCCAAGGCAGGGAAAACTACACACACGAGACCAAAAGACTTCAGACCAATTAGTCTGTCGTCTTTCCTGTTGAAATCTCTAGAGAGAATAATAGATGCGCACATTAGAGACAAGGTGGGCAGCAAACTTTCGGCAGCCCAGCATGCCTACAACAAAGGGAGATCAGTCGAAACAGCACTCCATTCTTTAGTGCACACAATTGAAAGATCACTTTATTACAAAGAATACACCCTCGCGGCCTTCCTGGACATCGAGGGTGCTTTCAACAATGTATCTCCTGCAGCGATTATCTCATCTCTGATAAATCTGGGAGTAAGCAATTCACTAACCTCATTTATTGAACGAATGTTAATCGGCCGAGAAATAAGCGCAGGATTAGGTGAATCAGTTATAAAAAGGTTCCCCGTCAGGGGTACACCCCAGGGGGGAGTAATATCACCGCTCCTGTGGAATATAGCAGTAGACAGCCTTCTTCGGGAACTTGAAGACATTGGCGGTCAGATAATTGCATACGCCGACGATATTGTAATAGCTATCTCGGGTAAACATCTTTCAACATTGACAGATCTGATCCAAAGATCCCTCAACAAACTATCCCTGTGGTGTAACAGGCGAGGACTGGGAGTGAATCCTGAAAAAACAGACCTTGTGCTGTTCACCAGGAAGCACAAGATACCTGATCTCGGGAACATAACCCTAGAGGGCAATACCCTCGCAATAAAGGAAGAGACCAAATATCTAGGTCTCATAGTAGATAGGAAACTAAACTGGGGGCCCAACGTTGCAGATAGAGTGCGCAAAGCAACAGTGGCACTATATTCCTGCAGCAGAGCAATAGGGAAAAAATGGGGGATGGAACCCAAAATAATACACTGGCTATACACGGCGGTGGTTAGGCCAATTCTCTATCACGGTATAGTGGTATGGTGGAACGCCCTTGGGAAAGGGGTAAACTTCAAAAAAATGGACAAGGTTCAAAGGCTTGCGTCCACACTCATAACTGGTGCGATGAGAACAACACCATCCAAGGCACTGTATGCCCTACTGAATTTTCTTCCGGTGGACCTACATGCCAAACAAGTCGCAAGTGGCGCGGCAATTCGAATGAATATTCTAAACAAGTGGTCAAATACCAGTTATGGTCACGGTAGAATATTAACGGAAGTTCCGGGGCTACCCGGATTGGTGGACTATGCACTTCCGGAACCTGCACCCGCTACAGCGTTCGCGACCCTCCTACCCTCAAGGGAAGAGTGGAAGCATGACGCTGTAAGTAGTAGAGAGTCCATCCATGTATACACAGATGGCTCAAAGCTCGAGGGTAGGGTTGGAGGAGGTGTATATTCCCATCACCTGGGAATCTCCCTCAGCTTTCGTCTCCCGGACCACTGTAGCGTTTTTCAGGCTGAACTGATGGCAATCGACAGGGCCACGAAACTGGTAAAGTGTGATATGATACCCCAAGTTGATATCTACATCTTCACTGACAGCCAGGCGGCAATAAAGTCCCTCACGAAGCAGTCGACAACCTCCATGGTAGCCATGAAATGCCGCGCATCTCTTAACGAGATGGCTGAGTCATTTCGCACAAAGGTAATATGGGTTCCGGGACACTGCGGCATAGAGGGGAATTGTAAGGCCGACGAACTGGCGCGACTTGGCACGAAACTTCCTTTTGAGGATATAAATGACGAAATAGGAATACCCTTGCAAACTTGTAAGCTACTTATCTCCGAGAGGCTCACTAAAGTAGCGAACGAAAGGTGGCAGGACGAAATCACCTGCAAAACTGCCAAACAATTATGGCCGGTGCTCAGCGCCAACCGCACTGGCCTACTACTGAGTCTAAATAAGTCCAATATTAGATTATTAGTATCCGTCATAACAGGACACTGCCTAATTGGCAAGCACGCCGATCGACTTGGCCTACGCTCATATGACTTCTGTAGAAGTTGTCAAGATGAAGAAGAGGAGGAAACGATTCTCCACCTGTTGTGCCAGTGCCCTGCTCTATCTAGACGAAGACTCTCCACTCTCGGTAGGCAATTCTTCGACAACTTGGAGGACCTTAGATGCGTCGAAATCAGGGATCTTCTAAAATTCGTTCAAAGTTCAAAATGGTTTTAGGAGGGATCGGGAGTTGCTGACCCAACATGCGGCATCACAATGGGCCCTGAGCCTAAGTGTGTCTTATAGACGACCGCGACAACCTACCTACCCTACCATACCCAAAACAATTTCTTTAATCATCACTTATATAACACCAATGTAAAAGAAAACAAGTAAAAAAGTCTAAGTTCGGGCGGAGCCGAACATTAAATACCCGGCGCAAGTATTCAATATATGTTTTTCACCTTTCCGAAAGCTACCGCTACATGGTAAACCGAGGTGTATCCATTTTGAGTAAATTAGCGTCCTTAAATTTCGAAATATTGAAGTTTCAAGCATATCTGAAATTTACTGTTATATGAAAAGCGGCCGTCATTTTAGTTCGATTTCAATAAGTTTCAATGTTTTGCTTCTATGTGGCAAGTACAATAACCACACCGACTTTGGTACAAATTGGTAGAACGGTTACCGAGATACATATATGTGATCATAAGTGGGCGGTGCCACGCCCATTTTTCAAAATTGTATCCTAAACGTATTTCTTGGTAACGAATTGTTGCAAGCATCAATTTTGAATAAATTAGCTTCAATAATTACTGATTTATCGGAGATTTCGTATTTCTCTAAATTACCGTTATATGGGATTATTGTCCTATTTTAAAAATTTTCGGCCATTTCGTATGTTATACCAAGGTTAACAACTGTGCCAAGTTTGGAAGAAATTGGTGCAGCGGTTACCAAGATATACACATGTAAACATAACTGGGCGTGGCTACGCCCATTTTCCAAAAATTTATAATATTCTTATTTTTCGTCTAAAACTTATTGTAAATATCAATTTTGAGTGAATAATCTTCAGTAGTTACTAAAATATCGCAGTATTCGTATTTCTGAAAATTACCGTTATATGGGAAGTGGGCGTGGTTATTGTCCAATTTTTTAAATTTTCGGCCATTTAGTATGCTGTATCAAGGCCAACAACTGTGCAAAGTTTGGAATAAATTGATGCAGCGGTTACCAAGGTATACACATGTAACCATAAGTGGGCGTGGCTACGCCTATTTTCAAAAAAATGTTAATATTCTTATTTTTCGTCTAGAATTTATTATAAATATCAATTTTGAGTGAATTATCTCAGTAGTTCCGAAACTATCGCAGTTTTCGTATTTCTGGAAATCACCGTTATATGGGAAGTGGGCGTGGTTATTGTCCGATTTTTAAAATTTTCGGTCATTTAGTATGCTGTATTAAGGCCAAGAACTGTGCAAAGTTTGGAATAAATTGATGCAGCGGTTACCAAGATATACACATGTAACCATAAGTGGGCGTGGCTACGCTCATTTTCAAAAAAATGTTAATATTCTTATTTTTCGTCTAAAATTTATTATAAATATCAATTTTGAATGAATTATCTTCAGTAGTTACTAAAATATAGCAGTTTTTGTATTTCTGAAAATTACCGTTATATGGGAGGTAGGCGTGGTTATTGTCCGATTTTGCCCATTTCCAATACCATCCGTCCTACGCCCGAAAGAAGTGCACATACCAAGTTTCGTTAAGATATCTCAATTTTTACTCGAGTTATCGTGTGCACAGACGGACAGACGGACGGACGGACGGACAGACAGTCACCGCTTAATCGATTTCTCTTTTCATCCTGATCATTTATGTATACATTTGTCTATATCTATCTCGATTCGTTTTGCCTGTTACAAACAACCGTTATGTGAACAAAGTTATAATACCCTTGTGCACAAGTGCGCTCGGGTATAACAAATGAGCGTTCGCTGTGCAAGTTAGAAAAGTTAGGAGGACTGGGAAATATTATTTGGAATGTTCTCTATCGAAAGTGACTAAAAATGTTAAGTTTCACCAAAATTTTGTCAAATTGGTTTTTGGCCGCCTAAATCGTTGAAATACCCCTATGTGCGTTGTTGATTTCATGTATCTAATATCATCTCTTTATAAAATTATCAAAATTTGTCTACGCATCCGTCGGTGAGTCCTTGGAAGTATTCTTTC